GGCATCAGAAAGCAGAAAGAAAGCTCTGCTCAACAAGGACAAAATATATAGCCAAAAGGCACACACGCCCAGGAACCCATCTCCTCCAGCCACACTCTACCTGCCTATAGTTACCACTCAGTTAATCAATCCCTATCAGGAGATCAGTGATTAGGATAAGACTCTCACATCCCAATCACTTCACATCTGTGCTTTGTTGCATTGTCTCACAAAGGAGCCCTCCATTTCAGTAGGATTTTAGGAGGCTACAAAATTACATATGTATAATCTACCATTTTTACTTATGTAAAAGAGTCTTGATTTATTCTTCAACATACATGTATAGTAGGTATCTACATTTATATATCATACGTATATGTTGTTTCTTTACAAACCATTAGACACAAGTTGAGCTATCCACCAGATTCCAATAGGCAGAATGCAATTATGTGACCATATAAAAAATATACATATCATATACGTATATATATACAGATACAGAGAGAGCATTCAAATGTCATTAGCTGCCAAATGGCATTAAGTTTTTACCTTTGTATTCAAGAGCATTACCACTTCACCTAGGGTAGTAGCACACTCCTATAATCCTAGCAATTTGGGAGGCTGAAGCAGGAGGAACACAAGTTTGAGGACAACCTTGGCAACTTTGCAAGGCCTAAGCCACCTAGCAAGACCCTGTCTCAAAATAAAAAATAAAATGGGTGGGGATGTAGCTTAGTGGTAAAGCACCCCTGGGTTCAATTCTCAGTATAAGGGGGAAAAAATTACCATTTTTACAACCCAAATATTTTCATGGAGTGAGACATATTATTGAGAGGGATAGATAAAATAAAGATTGCTGGTTTACAAAGAAAAATGAAAACTCTTGAGTTTTCATGTAATAAATTCTTTCAATAATACTTAGCTGTCATGTAATTATTTATATGCCCTTATTTTTTTAAAGTTACTGTTAAAACACTTATAGAATTAATAAGTTTTGTCACCTATAACTCTGGTATAAGTAATTTAAAACTAAGTGTCCTACTGATGAGTTTCATACTGCGGCAAAGAATCTAACAAAAATGGATCCTGTTTACCTTCAAAGTAGAAGGTAGATTTAGTAATGAAGAAGAAAGCCCTTCTTTGTTATGTTGCAGCCCATGAGTTAATCCAAAAAGGTCGGGTGGGCTTTGTAGTAGATAGGAAGAGAAATCTAGCTAGATTTTGAAGAACATATTTACATAGGCAGGTGAGTTCATGCTTCTCTAAGAATTCTCTAATTGGATATCATGAACCAATGCACCTAATGTAAGCTGTGGTGTAGAATGAAATGACAACATGAAGCAAAACAAGACAACCAGCCAGTGGGAGGACTAAAAACTAACTGAAGATAGTTAATAGTCAAAGCGTTACTTGTTTGAAGTCAAGTCACATAATTGCATTCTGGCCAATTGGAACCTGGTGTATTGCTCAAGTTTTGTTTAATTGCTGTGGCTTGTTTACAAGGAAACAGAATATGTTTGAACCCAGATAATCATTTAGTGGACATAACAATAATCAACAATTAAATTACTTGCAGCTTGGAAAAGTCTGTCAAGCACAGTTGTCTTTCATAAAAAGTGTTTTCCCTTGAAAACTAACAACCTTTAAAAATACACAGGGCATTCATGACATGTTTGCTTGCCTTATAATTCCAGTTTCACATTCACACACCTTATCAAAACTCCAACACCAAGGTTATATCAGCAGTGGAAGGCAAAGAGGAAATTTAGCAAACATTAGATTTCTTCAATTGCTGCAGTGCCTTATTTAAGCCAATTCACCCAGCAGCAGAATGTAATTGACATGTTTTTTTATTAACCAATAAGAGCAACAATACAAACACAAGACAAGTAGGTGGAGAGTCTTCCAAGGAAACGGTTATTGCTCCTTCCAAGTCATTGACAATCTGAGAAGAAAAACATAGGATTTCCAACAAAAATTGGAAAAATAATTTAAATGCTAAAGTGTCATATATCTCCAAAAGCAAAAATGTTCCAATAAGTGTGGCCAATAAAGAAGTGTAAGGTAACCGAATACAATAAAATGCTGGGAACCAAAGAGAGGGAAGGTTTGTACTCAAGAAGAAATTTTGATTGATACAGTTGTCAGTTATAATTAATACTGATATATCCCTGATTCATCTTTCTGGACATACAAAGTTGTCCTTACTTCAAGAAATTTGAGGGGCTGGGATTGTGGCTCAGTGGTGGAGCTCTGGCCTCGCACGGGCGGGACCCGGGTTCGATCCTCAGCACTACATACAAGCATTGTGTTGTGTCCATCTACACCTAAAAAATAAATATTAAAAAAAAAAAAGAAAGAAACTTGAGGCTGGGCATGGTGGCACCCACCTGTAATCCCAGCAGCTCAGGAGGCTGAGGCAGGATGATCTCAAGTTTAAAGCCAGCCTCAGCAATTTAGCGAGGGTCTAAGCAACTCAGGGAGACCCTGTATCTAAATAAAAAATAAAAAGAGCAGGGGATGTGCTCAGTGATTAAGTGCCCTTGGGTTCAATACCCAGTACCAAAAAAAAGAAAAAGAAACTTGAAGTTTTAGGTGCAATGGTGCATACCTGTAATCCCAGCTACTCAGGAGTCTGAGGCAGGAGGATCACAAATTCAAGGCCAGCATGGGCAATTTAGCAAGACCTCATCTCACAATAAAAGATAAAGGGCTGGGGATGTATACATAGCTCAGGGGTAGAGTGGTGTATAATGTGCAAGATCCTGGGTTCAGTCCCCAGTATCCCCCCAAAAGAGGCCTGAGCCTCACCTTTTCAGTTTCTAAAAGTAAATTTAAGCCAAATAAATTCTTTTTCTCCCATGAAAGAATGACAAATTCATAGGGAACAAATGGCATTAGTTTTCAGTTAGATATTGCATGAAAAGGGAGTCAAATAATAAAGCTACATAACTACAATTTTTATTTTTGCTGAAATCGGGGATCCCTCCCCTTGCCATTTATTGTGAGACTGCTAAATTGTGATAGTGATTTTCTTCACTTAAAAAAATAATAATAATAAGGTAAGCCGGCTGCAGTGGTGAATGCCTGGAATCCCAGGGGCTCGGGAGGCTGAGGCAGGAGGATCAAAAGTTCAGCTAGCCTCAGTAAAAGCATGGTGTGAAGCAATTCAGTGAGACCCTGTCTCTAAAATACAAAAAAAGGGCTGGGGATGTGACTCAGTGGTTGATTGACTCTGGGGGGTTCAATCCCCATTACCTGACCCTCCCAAAAGGTGTTTATTGCAGACTTTTTAGATTTACAGAATTATACCAGATGTGGTGATGAACACCTGTAAACCCAGCAACTCAGGAGGCTGAAGCAAGAGGATCTCAAGTTTGAAGCAAGCCTCACCAATTTAAACTGTCTCAAAAAAAAAAGAACTCGGGGGTTGTAGCTCAATGGTAAAGCACCCTTGGTTTCAATCCCCAGTGTCAAATACATACATATATATATTTATAGAATTATTGCAAGGATAATAAAATTCCTCTAACTCCACCCACAGCTTCCCCACTAACAGTGTACATTAGTGTCATACATTTGTCACAATGATTGAATCAGTATTGATACATAACTAAATCCCATACTGTATTCAGTTTTCCTTTACTGCTATATTACATTTAGTCATCCTGTCTCCTCAAGCTTCCCTTGACAGAAATAGCTTCAGATTTGTATCTTTCATGACCTTGACAGTTTTGAGTACCATTCAGGCATTTTGTAGAATGCCTCTCGTGATTACACTGAGCTTATGTGTTCTGAGGAGAAAGACCACAGAGGCCAAGTTCCATTTTCACCACATCATATCAAGAGTACATATTATCAGTGTGACTTATCAGTGTCGATGTGGACCTTGATCACCTGACTGAGGCAGTGTTGACAGATTTCTCCACTGTAAAAAGCTATTCCTCCTTCCCACCTTTCCATACAGCACTCTCTGAAAAGAAATCACCACATGCAAATTACCCTTACGTAGTAAGGAGCTGGGCTCCACTCTTGGAGGATGGTGCAAAAACGATTTGGAATTCTTCTGCAGATCTGTCTCCTGTTCAATCACTTGTATCAGTATAGACACAGGGATATTTTATACTCTGGGTTATAATCCAGTCATTGTTTTGTTGCTTTGACACAGTCCTAGCATTTTAGGTTATTTTAATCAATTCCTTACTTTCTGCCATTGTAAGATATTCTAGGATGTCTTGTCTGTTTCCCACCTCACACCTACCATCAGCCACTTTTCTAAGGCATCCCAGTTCTCTTCCTTGCTACTGAATTGGGGTGTAGCTCAAAGGTAGAGTGCCTGCTTAGCATGCACAAGGACTCGGGTTTGATCTCCAGCACCAAAGAAAAAGGGAAGGGAAGAGAAAAGGGGTGGGGGGATAAATTTTTAACAATCTCTTTTAAAAAGGAAAAAGTTAAAACACAACTCGTTTGCCCCTGAGCATAAAATATTCAAACTAGCACATGCAAGCTTACACTACAGTTTTCAACTAATGATGTTGAAAGGGTTCATACATTATGTGAGGTGGTCAGGTAATATAAATGAAACCTGACTCCCTTTGTATTTCTATTTTAAAATAAATCTTCTCTCCAGGCCAGCACGGTGGTGGATCTAGGGAAGTGAGGCTGAAGGATATAGAGTTCAAAGTCAGCCTCAGCAGTTTAGCTAGTTGCTAAGCAACTCAGTGAGACCTTGTCTCTAATACAAAATCCTTTTTTTTTTTTTTTTTGTATGGAGGATTGTACCCAGGGGTACTTTACCACTGAGTCCCATTGCCAAGTTGCTCAGGCTGGCCTTAAACTTGGAATCTTACTGCCACATCCTAAGCTGCTAGGATAACAGGTGTGTATTACTATGCTAGGCCTGAGAATTGGTATTTCATTAACTGCCCTGGATCAGGCCCTTTCAAATAATAAAGAGTTTTAGGAATGGAATTTGCTAATTTTCCTTGCTGTAACAGGTAAAGAAGAAAAGCACAAAATGAATATTTTAGGCACTTTTTATTTTCCAAAAAAAATTGTCGTTAATATATAAACATTTCATTCTCTCAAAAAATTCTACAACTATACAGCTGTTTGCTCCATTATTTGCATAGGAAATGACCACAATACAAAAATAAGAGGGAAAAAGAAGCAAAACAGCAACTGATTTATGCTTTTCATGTAGGTATGTCTCCACGTATAAACATTTTGAAGCCTCTTACAAAATTATTTACACCGTTTGTCATCTATTTACATGTTAAGAGCAACTTTTCTAACAAACAAAACTATAACTTATCAAGTTATGAAAATTGTCTTCTAAAAAAAACTTACTATATTACCACAAAATAAATAAAGATAAACAATATTTTAAAAACAAAATTAAAATTTCATTTCAATTAAGACCCCTTTTGGCATTTTGCTTATTATTCTGCCCTTTGGTTAACAGCATCAGCATCACATTACTATTTTATATTGCATATATGTAGCACTTGCTTCCTTAAGTTTTCAACATATCATTGATATTTAAAGGCAGACACTGAGTCAGTATTAACAACTGATTAACTAAACTGCACTGTAATTTCGATAAAATTACTGTGTCTCACTGTATATTACATGCAAAATCCACATAAATTGTCATTTAACCAACAGTACTGCACGAGCAAACACCTTGGTATATGAAAACTGCATCATAAATTCAACGTTTCCATACGTGAAAACTGCATCATAAATTCAACATCGCCATGTGAAAACTACATTAAGTCCTTCCTTTAAAAAATGATACTGTTTAGCTTATTTTAAGAGGTTCCACTTTCGTATATTTGTAACTATCTTTAAGCTCTTCAGTTTATAATTCATAAAAAACATCTTTTGTATTTAAAATAAACAATCCTATTTTAATCAGTGCATGAAATTTGCTTTTCCTAAAAGTTCATTTGAATGATTATTCCTTCCCCCCTAAGAAATGAATTTGGTAACGTTTTGAGAGGTATGTTTATCACAAATTCTAACTGTAAATGTATTTACGGTTATTTTCAAAAGAAGTTTGATTTTTTTTTCCCAAAAAGAATCCTAAAAAACTTGTAATAAACCTATAAAGCTGATTTGCATATTTACAAAATTTTGAATAGCAAATATAGGCAACTCATTTAAAAAAAAAAAAACACACACATTTGTTCAATGGCTATTAGTGAATTGCCAGGTACAGTGCGTACCTCTAAGGGATCACCTAATAATGACAAAAACGATGTCCGTCAAGTAAAATCTTGACATACAAGCCATCCTTCTTCCCAGTACCTGCCGAGTGATTTGTTCACTGACCACTGTCACGTTAAACGATGGTGCCGCACCCCCCTCCACCCCCACCCGGGCCAGACGTGGCTGCCTGTCATGAGATGAAATCTGCTTGAGTAAAGCCGTGTGCATCACAGCAAGCATTCCAGATTCTTAAAATGACCAAACACTTTGGTATTAATACAATGTATTCCCTGTTTTCTCAAATATACAAAATATACATTTCCAGTTTTTTTTCTTTTCTTTTCTTTCTTTCTTTTTTCTTTTCTTTCTTTCTCTTTTTTTATATATATATGAATAATAAAGTTTGTAGTTTAAAGGTTGCGGAACCGACTGCGGCGCGCGCGGCGGAGAGCGTGGCGCTGGGGCTCAGTTCTGGTGCCTCTTCATGTGCAGGGCCAGGTGGTCCGAGCGCGAGAAGCTGCGGTTGCACACCCCGCACTGGAACGGCTTGGCGCCCGTGTGCTTCCGGTAGTGGCGGGTCAGCTCATCTGATCGTGCGAACCTCCAGTCGCAGCCCTCCCAGGTGCACTTGTAGGGCTTTTCACCTGTGACAACCAACAAACAGGGTGAGGTGGCCTGCTCAGAGGACAACTGTAGATAACAACTGTGGATTTTTTTTTTTTTTAAACCAGGGGCCAAGCACAGGAAGAAAGGATCATGCATTCCATTATGAACTAAATAAATATTACAGTCCCTCAAAGCAATCCAGCAAACTCATTTCACAGAATGGGATTTAACCTGTAATTATATACAGAAAGAAGTATTTTGCTTACTCTTGAAAAACTGAAGGCCAAATTTAGCCACATGCAAAATGCATCAGTGCCCTTATTTTCTATGTACTCCTGCACACATCAATCCGTAAAGTGATTAGATTGGGCCTGAATGGCCTTATCACTGTGCAAACATGCTTTCTTCGCAAACCAACCCAAATTAAATTACTGTAGGGCTAGTGGCTACATGGTGGGTGAGGGAGCACGAAAATTTTAGAGCTATTCAAGAGGGAGCTGGTCAAATCACCTTCAAGATTAATTTCTTGTACCACAATTCCTTTGCTTGAAATTGGTCTTTAACGTCTAAATTAGGCTGACTGAAGCTTTCAACACATAACCCATGACCTCCTATAATGGACTATTCAGGCATTCTAAGGAAAATCTCCTTAGTTTCACACTAGCACACACATTCACATCCCTCTTTTGAGACTGAAGGGAAACAAAGTTAAAACATTTTTAAAGTTGAATGGCTTAAAGTCTAAAGGCTTAATGCATCTTATATTTAATAAATGTCTTGGCCAGACCCCCACGTCAGGTACTGATTAGTTCTCACTGGTACAGGTTCAGGCCATGAAAGAACCATAACAATACTAACATTTGCTGGTGTGCATGTAAATTTTCTTCCTTAAGAAACATTTCTTTGCACCAAAAAAGTTACTATGCTGGGCAGAATGGAGCATGCCTGTAATCCCAGTGGCTGGGGAAGCTGAAACAGGAGGATGGTGAGTTCTAAGCCAGCCTCAGCAAAAAGTGAGGTGCTACACAACTCAGTGAGACCCTGTCTCTAAATAGGACTGGGGATGTGGCTCAGTGGTCAAGTACCCCTGAGTTCAGTCCCTCGGGGGAAAAAAAAAATTACTACAAGCAATTTGACAAGTGTCTTATACTCCAGTCACTGTCCTGATGCTTGAGATACAGCGAACAAAACCTAAATGCATGGCCTCACGGGAGCAATTCATGACAAATCCCTGATCAACCTTCCTGTTTTCACAGCTCTCCACTTGAATACTGAATTGATGACTGAGCCCTGCCCACCTGCAACTTGTATTCTTAATGTTCTCTTAAGTTTGCTAGTTGCAAACTTTCAACAACTAGTGTAATGCAGTTATTTTGTTTGTTTTTGATACCGGGGACTGAACCCAGGAGTGCTTTACCACTGAGCTACAAGCGTCAGTCAGTTTTATTTTTGAAACAGTGTCTCCTTAAATTGCTGAGGCTGACCTCAAACTTAGGATCCTCTTGCTTTAGCTTCCTAAATCATTAGGATTATAGAGGTGCTCCATCACACCCCAGCTTTATAATGCAATTTTAATTCACTGTTTTAGAATCAATCTTATTTAAGTTCATGTATACATATAAATCTCAAAGCTTAGTCTTTCACTGACTAGATTCCTAATTTCTGCTTTGTTAAAATTTTCTGAGTATTAATGAGTTTAGATAAGAATGAGACAAATTTGCATATCAAAGTACTGTTGGCATACTCTAGTTGGGCACCTTTTTGCTTTAAAAAATGTTTTCTTCTGAAAAGGAAAAAACAAAAACAAAAACAAAAAACTCAAAGTTGCTTCGAACACTCAGCAACCTTCCAGCCTAATTTAGTAGCAGTATCATATTCAGGAGAGTTGTAGGATCATCCAACTGAATATGAATTTTAATCTTAATCTAAATTGTCCAGCCAATGCCTATAATCCCAGCAACTAGAGAGGCTGAGGTGGAAGGATCAAAAGTTCCAGGCCAGCTTCAACAACTTAGGGAGCCCCTATCTTAAAAAAATTAAGAAAAAAAAATTTTAAAGGACTGAGAATGTTGCTCAGAAATAAAAAATCCCAGGATTTAATTCCTGGTACAAAAAAAAATTATCCACATATGATGAGGTTTCTACAGCTTGTGAAGTTAATGTATTTCAACTGTTCTTATGAGATCTCACCTTGGCTTCCTACAGTATGCATTCATAGCCACCTTTCCCCCCTCTTCTGGTTCTGACCTAATGCACACTTATTTACTTAATTTCCTTCTCAGGTCCTATCATCCCATTTAAAAAATATACATCTCAATTTGGGATGCTGTTTCTCATAGTAAATTCTTTTTCCTCCATCTTTTAAAATTGGTGTATTATACTCTCATTCCCCAGTGCCTCACAGTAAATTTCAACTAGAAATTTAAGCAAATACACTCAAAACTTTTCAGCAACATATTCACCCGTCTTTCACTGACATTCACATATAACTGTTTGATATGCAGAAACATTTTAGTACCAGTGGTAAGTGCAACTATCTTGTTTGTGGATTTAAATCAAACAGAAGAAATAACTTTGCACTGAAGTGTGGTTTTGTTCCTCATGAAAACAAATCACAGAAACAAACATACTAGGTTAAACAAAAACATTTCTGATGTCTAAGGCAAGGCAACAACTTCTTACAGAGTCCTAATTTTAAAAGAAATCATTCTAGTCTTTTGAATTTAATAACTAAATAGCAGGAGAAGTGAATTCAGTTTATTTAAGAAACAAGGGACACTAGACTCTTTTTGTTCACTGTTTTTATTGGCTACAAAGCAATAAACGGCACCAATATTTTTTAAAACTTACTTTACTGATTGGTCAAAATACAGTAGCCATTCAAGTTCCTAAAACATTTGGGGTTTTGCTCTCAATTTATACACATCTATAGATTATCCAGCCAAGAATACTACCAGTGTCTGGAACAGTAGTTACTGGGGCCAAGTCTTACTATAAAAGCAAGGATAACTATTCCCCACTTGGGGCAGTTTCTATGGGATTTGTTCAAGTGTCAACACTGTTCAAGCAAAACATCGTAGAGGAAGCTGGTACCCAATTTCTGGCCAAACAGCAGACTTGAGCCTTTCTTCCTCAGCCAGAAACACTATGCACAGTACTTCTGGGAAACCAAACTGACTTCCTTCAAGTTATATTTCAACAGGACAGAGCTTTCAAAAGTTTAATTGGATTTTTACAGAATCTCTTTCCAATACCACCAATTTAAAATATTTAGTTAAGCTCTTTCAACATCAACTGTAGTTTTAAGTTCTCCTGCTGTTAATGTGAAACTTTCCAAAGGCAAAAAAAAAAAAAAAAAAAAAAACTGACAAATTTGTACAACATGGACAATAATCTTCGATTTTATCTCAAATAAAGTATGCATTTTCTTATGATAGGAACAATTTGCTAAGAGTCACTAATTTTTGGAAAAAAAAAAAAAGTCCGAAACATGCATACTATCCATATTGATAAAGTCATGAAGATATTTTATTAAAATGTTAAGCAGAAACATTACCAACAAAAGGGAAGAGGGAGCAGATAACAACCTCCACTGGCACCTCCTCCAGAGCTAGGTTCTCACTACCTTCCTAATCCTTGCAACAACCCCAGGAGTTAGAAGCAAACTGATTTCCACATTAAGAATCCTGGCCTGCCACTCTTCCTTAATGTCCCACTTAAATCTTCCATTAGCAAACACTAATACACTCTCTTTGAATGATGCAAGAAATATATACATATTGTTCAAATTTATTTAGATTCTGAAACCACTCATGAAGGGTAAGGAATAGCTTAATGGACTTCCACCAGCCCTTAAACTCAAAAGGTCTGAAGCCTCGGCACACCCTAACAGGGCCAGCCCTCAGTGAAGACCCACTTTTCTGGGCCTTTTGGGTCCTAAAAATGGGTTCCAGCATGGTATCAGCAGTCCCCAAGCATTACTAATGAGTATTCCTCTCTCCCAGACTAGGTGAATTTCAGTGGTTTAGCAGAATGTTTGTGAAGTATTCAAAAAATCTCCAGCAAGAAACTAAAACAGTATCTATTTTTTTTCTCTCTGATGAACAGATTAAAAAAAAAAAAATGACTTTTGAACCTACCACAATGGAATGGGAGGTTTCTCTGCTCTGCTGAACATATTCAATAGACCCATACTAAGGCCTTTCTCTAGAATGTTCTACATAGATTCTTTTAACAAAAGAAAAAAAAATCACAGAAGGAAATATTTCTTAGAAAAGGTACGTTAGGTAACTTTTTTTTAAAGTCTATTACAGCAAATTTGAAAATCTCTTTCCTTCCTGGTGATTAAAAATCTAATCAATGGTACTTTATAAAAAGATAAAAGTGAACACCATCAGAATTAGACAGTATGTATTAAAGTATGGCCTATACTAAATGCCTTGCAAAACACAAATAAGATATGGTCTCTGGCCTAAAAAAAAACTTAATAGATTTTTTCCCCCATCATCACAGACTTAGGAAATTGAGACTTTGAAACAGCCTCAATTATTAGATTTTCTTTTAATAATAAAAAGGAAAAAACAGAAAACATTGTACCTATGTCAGTAATTTTCCTTATTAGAGCTCACTGCAGATCTCCTACACTTGGAACACAGAAAGGTTCATTTTAAATGCATCTAATAGATGTAGTGCCCTATTAGCAATGGGCCTACTTTTAGGAAACAATCAAAATAATTTGTTTTCTTTTTTGAATCACTGATTTGCACTTGCTCATACATTGCTTTATGAAGGCTTCGAATATCTGTGTTCTGTCTTCTCAACAGCTTTTTAAGCTCTGCAGAGGTAGAGACCTCTTCTACTTCTGCTGTGATGCCATAGTTTTCCCAATGCCTCTCTGAAACAATCATGCATTCGGCCAAACTCTGACTAGCAGTTATTTTCATAATGAAAAGAGGGAAAGTAAAGGAGGCTAGAGTGAGGCTGTCAGTTTTTCTCTCCTTTTTCACAAAATTAGAGAAAAGCTGGGCTTTACCCTGGC